ACAACCAGAGAGAATATTTATCAATTTAGCAAGAGAATACGTAGAGTTCACAGTCATACACCTTCTTATCCAACCAGACAAGAAACTGCACAACAGCTGCACCATCGCGGATATGTGCATTTCTTAATCCATCCAACTCAACTGGATTCTGAAAAATTACAAAAAAATTTGTTGATGAGAAATTAGTTTGCAATAAAACATGATCAAATAGAATGTCTCTTTAAATATTCCAGATCCTGTCATGTTCCCTAAAATAAGTTAAAGTCTATCCCCTTTTTTCTTCTTTAGGGAGGAGTCATATGTATGTTCTTGTGGATCAATGCATGTGTATTTACAAGTACTCATCCAAAATCTAAGGTGTTCTAACTTCTGAATAAATTATTTTCCAAATATCAGAAGACACACCATATAAATATATTTCATGCACTCCTAAAGTAAGATTCAACCAGTTAGGAAGTAAATAAACAACCTTTAAGGCTTTTGCAAGGGCCAAAGGTGACTGTTGCAGGAGCACCTTATCAGCATCTAATTTTGAAAACAAAGCATAGCAGCATAAAGCAGGATCAACCCATATAAGACCGTTATAGTTTTCTTCTTCTTCAGATGTATCTTTTTCACAAACACTATTTTGACCAGAACTTACTCCCCTGTCCTGGTCAAGTTGATTAGACGCTAACAATGCAACATCTGAACTCACTGCACCATACTCCCGAACTTCAATTCCATTCTCTTGCATGGAAGAGCTCACCTGCATTAACATACATTGACTTAATAAACCTAACTGTCTAGCCCATAAAGCTTATACCTTCATTTATGGTGGGTGTAATAATTCACAAAATACAGCCAAGTAATGGCATAAACGCTGGAAACTTCAACAAACTAGAATATTTGAAATCCTACCTTGGTAGAAACCTTCCTTTTGTCCACATAAAGGAAAGCAGAATTCAATGTTACAATAGCAAATGCATGAACAACTGGACAGTAAGACACATCAGTCCCACGAATATTATACAACCAAGCAACCTGCAAAGTAGCCAATTATGCTCAAAAACCATTGCTCAACAAATTCCATTAGACAATAATTTGACAAAGCCAAACCTCATCTAAAGCTGTGATGATTATTCCACGAGCCTTTTCATTCCCAAGCTTTTCCCTCAAATTCTTCAACTTGTCAGCAACAGAACGACCGGAAAATTCCAAGGGATGAACAATGACTGGATTAACTTCAAGCGGTGGCCGGGTTTTCCAAACCTCGTCAACCAAATTGGTTGAAGTTTGAACTAATTTCTGTTGCTTTTTCGCAAAAGCACGTTCCCATCTTTGAGCCGTATCCACTGATACACACCACGGATCAACCCCAATAGCAGCCTCTCTTGGCAAATTCTATATGTTCAACAAAAGAAAAAAGAAATGAAAATTTAAAAAATATAAAAATTTGAAAAACCAGATTCAATTTTTGCGGAGTAAAAATGGTAAATTTACATCAGACATCCAGGCATCGACGGAAGGATCTTCTCCGATACGCATCAATTGCCATTGATCACTAAGCTGCTGCGTTGCTTGCAAGAAATATCGACCGTCCGTCCATAGCCTAGCTTCATTTTTTGTTATAAGTGCCAAGCCTGAAATATTCCTCTCAAATTCAATAAAACCTTAAAAATCATACTCAGATAAAAATTTAATATCTATAATACTATGAATAAATTAAAACACCGTACTGACCTGCACTTCCGGTGAATCCAGAAACGAATTCGCGCCTTTTGTCCCGAGCAGAAACATATTCGCTCTAAATAAACCGATATAAAATTAAATAAATCCATCACTGAAATAACAAAAAATAACTATTTAATCATTTTAAAGATTTTAACCTGATGATAATCTTCAGAAGGGACGACTAAGGAATCGAGAGGAGGACAGTGAGAGGCCATTAAAGACCTCAACGCAGCAAGTATTTCCGCCATGGATCTTCCTTTTAGCGACAGTTTAGTTCAAAGTATCGAAAGATTTTCAAGAGAGTTCCCTTTCTAGACAGAGGGAGGAGGTGCGATTTTATAGAAGTGGGGAACTCAGGAGGCCGCTGCTTCGAGGACTTCGAGTTTCGTTCGAGACTGTGAAAGCTGAACTAAGGAAGTCTCAACAGATTGAAATATTATGTTTTGGCAAAATTCCGGGGTTGGCGTCATTTTTTATAATATTTTACCGTTTTACTGTTACAGTTCATCTTGTCGTGTAGCAGTGCGTTACCCAGGAATTTTTACTCTTACATTATCTTTGCTTTATAAAGAGAATAAAATTAATCAAAAAAGTAAGTGGGGCTGGGCTTTGAATTAACGAGACCTGACCCAAAAGTTATATTTCTTTTCTTTTTAAAAATGGAAAAGAAGATTAATAAAAAAAAAATTTATATATAATTAGAGAAAAAAATTCAAATCCAATAGAAAAATAATAATAATAAATTAATACTTGATAAATTATTAATTTTAATTAAATAATATTTCTTATCGATTTTGATTTGAAATCAATATGATAAATTAATAATTTTTTATATTTATAAAATAACACATTTTAAAAAATATATATAGATCTTATTTTATATATAAATTAATAATATCTTTATACATATACATAACTTAGTTAAGAGATTTTTGTAAAATATAAGTTCAGTGTTACTGATTTTTTCTTTAAATTAATGTCCCTTTATACTTCATCTTTCACTTTTCTTATTGAAATTTTGATATACTATTCTTGTATTACAAGAGAAAATTATACAATATAATTATTACTTTTATTACATTTTTGTGTGATTATTATCTTCAACTTCATCTTCTTTGTCAGTTCTCATAACATTCTCAATAATTTGCATATGCTGAATAATAATAATTCGTAATCCAGTAATAAAATAATATTCGTATAATCACAATATATAATATATAAATTAAATTTAATATTTTAAAAAATAAAAAATATGTTGATAAATTAATTTTTTATTAATTAATGTATAAATTAATAAATTATTTATTTATTGATTAAAATATTTAAATTAATTAATAAATTTTCATGATCTAAGAATATTAATTTATAAAAGATTTACTATATTATCTAGAGTGATTTACTATATTTGATGCGGAAACAGTTCATAAATTATCATAAACCAAGAATATAAGGAATTAAATGAAAGATTATTACATAAGAATCATATTCCACGACATAACATGGGCATCGTTGTTATCTCTGTAGGGAAGGAATCCAAGACAATTGGAACAGTACTGAGTTTCCCTGTTCTCCCCTTTTTTTTCTCGAATCCGCCAGTTCCTAACGAAGGGATTGTTTCATCCAGCGCTCAGATTAACGCTCGGAATATTGATTCATAAAATAAATGAATAGATGGTGAAGTAAGCAGAGGGATACAAAAAGTTACCGACGACTGAATTCAGAGTTGAATGACTAGAAAAAAAGAACATGAAATCTTATTAAACCAAAGCCTTGAGTGGTTTATAAGGAGAAAATTATACAAACGAAGAATCCCAATTCCCACATATCGACATCTTATTTGATAAGCCAGGACAGAAGAATATCAAATCATGTACATCTTTCTCAATGGAATTGGCAAATCGGAATACCAATACTAGGTGACATCTTTTGGCGCTGATGGTAAAAGGTGAAATGCCAAGACCGGCCACAAAACCAAAACACATTCCAATTTATGAACATTGATAAGAAAATGGGATCCCCAAGTGTGGGGAATGTCAAGCCTGAGAAAGCCTCTTGACCACACTAGCCATGTACTTCCCTTGATGCTCTGCAAGGCCCAGCTCTGTTTCAGTAGGCTCTCTTGTGCCATCACCAGCGTAAACTCCAGCACCATAAGGTGAACCTCCTCGTATGGAATCCATTTTGAACATAGCAGCTCCAAATGTGTAGCCAATGGGAACAAATAGCATTCCATGGTGTGCCAACTGAGTTATTGCTGTCCAACTGAACCAGACAGAAGCATGAGAATTGCCAGAATCTTGATAAATATATACCTAGGTACATGATTTCACTGATAAGTACACAACCTAAGCATTTTAGATTTAATTGCATAAAAGCAATTCTAATTCATCTTCCTCCACAAATTTATTAAAGTTATAATAGACAACAGCTAAGGTCAGAAGAGATCATTAGGACAGATACTCCAGATGCACAAATGGGTCTCAAATGAAACTCCATGCTGATAACTTCTAGTACAAAGCTCCTTAAATAACACTATCATACTGATAACGATCTCAGTACAAATATAGCTCAATATATCTGATATCCAATCATCTGGAAATGCTGAGAGCAACTTCTATTGCTAACATACCAACAAAAGTCCACTGAAACTCATAAGAGATGAAAAGCTATAATAACATTGAAGTTAACCACCACCACCACCCAACATCCAAAGCCTAGAAAGCTTCTATATTTCAATTCATGTAAGGCAAAATTCATCTTTCACTGAGCATGAACAAGACATAAATACCATAATTTGGATTGGAAAACCTAGCAAGGAGTATGATTGGAAGCAATTGTCTCTTGTCTCAATTTTCTACACTAGTAACATGTTCAACAAGCACTAGTAGGTTCTTTAAAATAACATCGACGAATTTAAGAATTTAGCATTCCTACCAATAAATTTGTCTTGTTTGGATAACAAATTCAGGAAGGATACAAGGAAATGAGAAAGAATAAAATTGTTACTCGAATTTCTCTCTTAAGTTTTCATTTGTCTCCTGAAGTGAAGGGATTTAGATAGAAATGAAACTAACTAAAGTATTCAAATTTATGGATAAAAATAAGGCCTTAAAACTCTACTAATAAATCACTCCAACAATGATAGAGAAATTAAATTGCAATTCTCACTTACGCGGTGGTTTCTTGGCCGCCTCCTTGAGTTCCTGTACTAACAAAGAATCCAGCCGGCTTCCCGGCCAGCGTCTGCTCCTTCCAAAGCTGCCCAGTGGAGTCAAAAAACGCCTTCATCTGAGCCGCCATACACCCATACCTCGTCGGAAATCCAAACAAAACTCCATCTGCCTCCGCCAATTCCGCCGCCTTAATCTCCGGAACCTCCGGGTCTTTAGGCAGCGCCTTCATATTCTCAAGCACATCCGCCGGAAGCGTCTCGGGAACCCGATAAATAACCGCCTCGACACCTTCGACGCCGTCAACTCCTTTCTTCATCCGCTTCGCCAGCTTCTCCACGTGACCGTACATGGAGTAAAAAACAATGAAGATTTTCAAAGTGGCGGCAACCGATTGAGTATTCGTAGAATCCACCGTTACGGAGGGAGTTTCGTTGATTTCTTCATCGGCGACGATGGGTGCTTCGTTGGTGATGGTGGTGGTAGTGGAGCCAAGGTGGCGGGGGCCGTCTTCGGCTGAGGAGGGATGTTTTTTTTTGCTCGGGACACAGCCGCCGCCTTTGCCCATGGAGGATTAAGGGGAATTGAGGCTAGGGTGAAAAAGAAGTGCAGGTTTTTTGAGGTTTTTGGATCCAAGGTAAGAAAGCATAGACAATGAATATTCGCATGCTTTTTCAAAACTTTGAAAAAGGAAATATACTTCGGATTTTGACGAAGAGTAGGTGTAGAAAAAAAATGGATTAGCTGTAGCTGATACTACACGACTTCGTTGTACGACACGTGTCCCCGTTTTCTTTTCAATACTAAACGCTGCCGTCTCAATGTTCTGCTATCCTTTTTGTTCTTTCCTCTTTAACAAACAGAATTAATTTTTAATTTGACTTGCAATTTGCATTATAAATTCACTTATTCTGGTTAAAAAAATTAATAAAATGCATTAAAACTAATGCTGAATTAATCTCATTATCCAATTCAAGTCAAATCAAGTTCTTATAACACTCGTATAATGATGTTTAGTTAAATTTGCAAGTTAAGGTTTTCGACAAATTTAATCAAGATATCATAAAAAAAAATTTTAAAATTGTATTTTATATAAATTCAAGTATCTTAATTATTATAATTAAATTCAGCCATTCGGGTTGAAGATGCTTAAGATGAAAGGGTATTTGTGGTATATATTTTACTCTTAACATTTTTATCTTAATCTAATAGGATGGAGCCAAATCGAATTTTGCTTCTAAATGATTGGAATTTAATATGTTTAAGCATAAAGTCTTCAGACAATCCAAATAGCAAAAACAAGCATGTATTTAAAATCCAATTGTTGTAACCGGACATGCCACGTCAACTGCTTTGCGTGTGAATTGTTAATGGTTTAATGGTTTTGTTTTACACGTTAATAATAATAATAATAATAAAATCAATTATGAATCTCTTTTGATTGAATATTTAACCCGGTTAGCTACCTTGGATGATTGAATATTTAACCCGTCGCCATCTGCCATCTTCTCTTGTTTAAACTTGGTTATTGGCTAAAGCATTTTAGCCCTGGTTCCGCTTGGACGGCAAGTAAAATTTGGTCCTCACCCAACTCCATGGAAACCTGTTAACCGGCAGCGACCCCCGAAAGCTGAAATCAGCATGGCCCCCCATACTTACGTTAGGTGCTTTCGAACCAACTTCGCCTGACCCCGGAGTCGGTTCAGACTTGAGATATCAATTGCACTCGTTTACCTTAGCCAACTTCCATCTGCCCTTTTCAAGACAATAAATTTGAAACTTGCTCTTTCTTTGCCTTTAATTTTTCCAGTGGGTAGTGAGCAACATTGACAATTATATCTACATATATATATATATATATATATATATTGAATTGAGGTCAAATTTGGGTCGAGTTTGACAAACATTTCCAAACCCAAAATAATATGTTTTCATCTCACAGGCCCAGCCTGATCTTACTCGAAACTTGCCTGAGCACCAAATATGCTGAGGCTGCTCCTGATTGGACTGAAGCACAGGTTAGCATCCATAATACAAAACCCACACTGTTAACACATGAATGGTCTTGAGTCTAAAACAATGAACCCTACTATTCGACTTGAGCCCAAGATAGCTGGACTTGAGTCTGGAGGTAAAGACCCATTTTGTTAGGAATTGATGGGCTTGAGTTCTAACCAATGGCCCATAAAAACGTGCTGCCACGTAGGCTGGAGTTTGCTGTCGCTTAATAAATAAATGATTAGAAAAATCAAAATAAAATCA